TAAAAAAAAGAGGAAGAGAATGTAACCTAGTGTATAACAGGCAGCACAGCAATAAAAAATTGATCATTTAATAACATCTACTCATATTTATATAAATAATTTTAATATTTTCTGATTCACACGTAATATATCCATTTATGTCAATTAAAATGTTTCCTACTCCCTCTTTATATATGCAATATCCTTCTCTTTCTCCATATTATTTAAATTTATAATGATTTTTCTTCCACGGCTAAAAAATTTAAATATTTGTAGGAAGTTAAATATAAAATACATAATTATAGTCAAGTTTTACTCACTAATCTACATTTTACAACAGATGTATATTTATTAATAAACAACAGTGGTTACAACCGTAAACAAAAGGAGTTGCTGCAGTTGGTGACTATCTATGTTTCTTGTTACATATTACTTACGAACTTTTAATTTTAATGTTATGCTTTTAGGTTAACAGATTAATGACACTTTCGTTTTTCTTTACGTATGGACGCTGCCATATTGAACTGTACCGCTGCACTACCTTGAAAGCTAGGGCAAACAATGCAGTGAAGTTCTGTACTGAGTACCGATATACTGCTAAAAAGAACGGCGTATCTGACGTCACTTCCACTAAAAAGAACTCTTTAGTGTACACTACTTGAACTAATGCAGCCAGTTCAGCTAAAAAGAACAAACCTTTAGTTACTAACTTACATTTATACAGGGTGTTATAAAAGTCCCGGAAGAGCAGAATAACTCGAAAACTATGAGTCCTAGAAAAAATACGAAGTACAGAGTTTTTATGATTTTTTCCTGGCTATCTGATGGTGACCTTGGACTTGATCTTGACAATGACCTTAAAGGTCATTTCAAGATCAGGTCAATTTTTTAAATGGGATGTAATATTTTTGACCTAAAAGGTCAAAAGGAATGAAAAGAGCGGAATATTTTACGTTCGGATATGACCTTGAACACTGCCAAATTTGACCTCTGAAGGTCACATAAAGGTCTAAGCTTGTTTTAGGCTGAAAACGCGAATATCTTCGAAAATGCACCTGCTAGGGAGCAATGTTACGCATAAGAATAAGAATGTAGAGGTCAACGAGGGACATTTAGCCGTGATCTTGCCCATATTCTCAAGGTCATGAGTTAAGATTATTATTAAGGTCAAACCGGACTTTTTTAGGACTGAAAATCCATACTTTTGACCTAAAAGTGTCAAGGTTGAAAAATTTTACGTTCGGATGTGACGTTTTCAACCTTGACTTTGTTCTCAAAATTATGCGTTTTACGTTACTTCACTGATCGTGAAGTCTATTAAAAGTAAAGCGTCTCGGAACCCGACCACTGAAGGCAAGGTATCTCAAACCCGACCACTGAAGGCAAGGTATCTCAAACCCGGCCACTTAAGGCAAGGTGTCTCAAACCCGACCACTGAAGGCAAGGTGTCTCAAACCCGACCACTGAAGGCAAGGTTCAATTAGTCCCGAAGGCAAAGTATCTTGTAACTCGGCCTGAGATTACAAGAGATGCTCAAAATGTTCTCCATTGACCGTTTGACAGTGTGCTAAGCGGACGTACAAATTGTCAGTCGCACTCCTTATCATTTCTGGAGGTGTTGCAGCACATTCGTCTATGATCCGTTGTTGAAACTCTTCCAGGTTACGAGGTTTAGTGAAATAAATTTTATATTTTATGTCCCCAAAGAAAGAAATCAAGTGGTGCAATGTCGGGCGATCTCGGTGGCCATTCAATTGTTCCTCTTCTACCTATCCATTGATTAGGGAAAGTATCGTTTAAATAGTTCCGAACAATGCGTCCATAATGTGGCGGTGCCCCATCTTGCTGTAACCAAACATCATCAAAATTATCACTAACAATCTCCTGTATTGATGGAACAATTTGGTCTGTTGGAAGCTGCAGATAGGTTTCTGAGTTCAAATTCCCATTTATAAAAAAAGGCCCAACCACTTGATTATCATAAAGACCTGCCCAAACATTCAATTTTTGAGGTCGCTACGTATGTGCTTCAAGCATCCAATGAGGATTTTCGTTGTCCCAATATCTAAAATTATGATGGTTTACCTTACCAGTAATTTCCAAAGACGCTTCGTCTGATAAAACGATATTATGCCAAAAGTTCGGTTGCTGATCAATTCTTTGCATCATAACTTCTGAGAATTGCACCCTGCGGTCAAAATCATCCTCATTCAACTCATAGTAGAGATGAATTTTGTAGGGGTGGAACTTAATGGTCTTTAGATTTTTGGAAATTGACAATACACTCATTTGAAGCTGTTGAGATGCTTTTCTAATTGACAATCTGGGATTTTTAACAAATGATTGGGCTACTTCAAATTGTCGCTTTTCTGTCGTTTGGGACCTTGGTCTCCCAGATTTTTGGCGGTTTTTATTACTCCCAGTTTCTACAAATCGTCTGATGGTGCGAGATACAGTCGATATTGAAATACCTTCGCCTTCATTACGAAAGTTTTCATCGAACAGCAATTTCACTTCACTGTATGACCTTTGTCTCCCCCCATCCTTTCATCATCAATAGCGAAACTCTCTCATGCTCTGTAAGAGAAGCCATTTGGAATTGAAAACAAAAAATTTGCAAATTTGGTATAAAAAATTCGGTTTCTTTACCTTTAAATAAAAATAATAGGTAATGTACCATTGATCGTTAATAATAATATGATAGTAATTCAAAACGGACTAGGATGGCATCAAAACTTGTTAAATCGATGAAAACTCAAAAACAATCTATTATCTGTTTGACACTGATAGAATCGAGACAAATGAAAACCTTGAAGCATACACTTTATCGATGGCGAATAAATTTTTCGGATACCGATCCTGGGATTTTTGAGCTCGCTAAAACTGAATCCAACGTCGGATTTTGCAAATTCAAGATGGCCGATTCAAGATAGCGGCCGATATTTAAGAATAACAAAAATTGGATCTCGTTTAAGGAGTTTTTGAAGTCGTTTCTGAAATCGAATCCGACGTTGGATTTTACAAATTCAAGATGACCGATCCAAAATGGCGCCCGATATTGAGGAATTACCAACAATCGGAGTGTGACCTCGTACGTAACGTAAAATCTCACTCTTCACATTATGAGGGGGTAAAAGTATGTGTTTCCAGCCTAAAAAATTAATTGACCTTGATATGACTGATACATAACCTTAAGAACAAGGTCAAGGTTGAAAACGTCACATCCGAACGTAAAATTTTTCAATCTTGACGCTTCTAGGTCAAAAGTATGGATTTTCAGTCCTAAAAAAGTCTGGTTTGACCTTAATAATCTTAACTCATGACCTTGAGAATAAGGGCAAGTCCACGGCTGAATATGTCCCTCGTTGATCTCTACATTCTTATTCATATGCGTAACATTGCTCCCTAGCAGCCCAGTAAGCAATCTGTGCGCAGACTGACGTCAGACTGTCATCAAATTCGAGCAGACCCTGTCGGCAGATCTATATCCATCTGTCGAGCCAGTATGCTGTTAGACTGTGTCAGAACCTGCCGATAGGCTCTGACAACAGATTGTCGGCAGTATGCGCGCAGAGCTTGTCGACATGCTGCGATAGCAGACTAACGGTAGAATATACATAGTACCTGTAGACATACTGCGATAGCAGACTGACGACAATATACGCACAGAGCCTGTCGACATGCTATGCCAGCAGATTGGCGGCAGAAATACAGGAGATTCTGTCGCTTTTAAGGTTATGTAATGAGAGGGCCAATAAAATGGAAGTTAAATTTTAAATTGTTCTGATAAAAATCTTTATTGTTATATATATTAAATGATATATAAAACAAAAAAAGCTACTTTCGGCCGGTCAATTAAAAATCCAACATTTGTCCATCTAAATATTTACATATATACATCTTGTTAATTTAATCTGTAACTTCTTCCTCCTCTTCTTCTGGCCAGTCATTGTTCCACAGGTCCCGATCATTTTCTTGTCCTGCTGACTGATGTGGGCGACGATTTTTACTCCGGACTCTCTCCTTTGCAGCTCGGAGAGCTTCTCTTATAAATTGTTGAAAATCTTGTCGAGTCGGCCTATGAAAATAGGGATTTCGACATACAGCATCTGAAATAAAATATAAGATATTACTTATTGGCTGCGTTTTGAAATTCACTGCCAGTGCTGAAAACCTATTCACGTTATTCACCTATTCGCTGTTCACGGATGTTATAAAATATCTGTACTGGCAGTAAATTTCGAAATCTAACTATTATAAATTACTACATATATATTTGCATATATATGTGTGTGTGTGTGTGTGTGTGTGCGCGCGCGCGCATGTGTGTGTGTGTGTGATGTGTGTATAAATAGAAATGTTAAAAAATCTTACCAAAAATTGCAAGTATAAGTCTTACATTGTATAATGCTTTCAGCCCTTTTCCACCTTGCCATGAAAAGAGAACGGAAGCTGAATCTGCGATGTTTTCCTTTAGACATAGAGTTATCGCTTCTTTGGCATTGAAGCCTCCAATGTTTCTAAGATATTGCACTTGCTAAACATAAATTTCTATTATTACGTTTAATAAGTATTACACATGTCATAAGTCTAAAGTTTTATTTTTTACTTACAACGTTATTACATTCGTCATCATTACTTTTTTCAAATGCCTCAACGTCCTCGACAGATTTTATCGGTATGACGCTTGGTTTTATTATTTTTGACCTGTTATTCTGTTTCTGTGTATCCCGAAGAATAGCATATATTTCACTGAAAAAGAAAATGTGTGTTGAAACATTGATATTGACAAGAAATGTATTATACTAAACTTTTATTTAATCCATTCTACGTTATACAAACTTGACTTTTGCCTCAATTCGATTTAACTGCTCTTTTTCATCATCTCTCCTGGAATGATTAATGAATACCACATGCTTAAATATAATTGTATTGACTTTAAACAAACGTTCTAACGCGAATTTGCACCTGTGCGAACAAAGGGTATATATATATATATATATATATAAATGCATATAAATTTACCAATTATTTGTCCTGTCTCCAGCCTGCGCAAAGTTGTGATAAGTATGTCCATACATGCTGCTGTCTCCCTTCCTCTGTACGTTAGTTGGGACTATGTTTGTTGCTTGGCCATATGGGCCCCTTCGCTGTTGTAAATGTGTGTATGTATTGGAGTCATTTTCATGCTGTGAGTGTGTATCTAGCTGTGTTTCTGGCTGCGAGTGTATATGTAGCTCTGCTACTGTTACTGGCTGCGAGTGTGTGTGTAGCTTTGCTACTGTTTGTGGCTGCGAGTGTGTGTGTAACTCTGCTACTGTTTGTGGCTGCAACTGTGTGTTTAGCTCTGCTACTGTTTGTGGATGCGAGTGAGTGTGTAGATCGGAGTGTGTTTGTGGCACCGAATATGTGTACAACTCTGATCGTATTTGTGGCTGCGAGTGTGGTTGTGGCTCCATTATTTTTAACTCAGTGCACAGGTCAGATTGTTGTTGCGCATTACAATTTGGTTGCATAAAACTATGCAATGAGGCATCGTTGCATCGTTCAGCATCTTGTTTCATCATTCTTCGAAGATCATTGATATCATCATCAATATCTATTGCCTTTGCCATTCTCTATCGCTTAGGGGCTTCATCAGATGACGAGGTTGTCATATATCGCAAAGGTTTGCTTACAATACGTTTTGTTCGGAAACTTCTGTAAAACAACAAAATCCATATTTAATATATTTAAATATTGTGTATAGATTGTTTTTCATTCAACGTGATCTCTGCGATACACATACGTAATTCAATACAATATACGCTCGTACTTACTTCTTTTGCGAGTCTGTCATTGTAAGAAATTATATACGACGTGGATATATATATATCCACGGGATTCAACTCTTCACGTTGAGTGAAAGTGCGGTCACTTTGTAAAATAAAAATGGATGAAGGATGCAAAATAATAGGAAAGAGAAAAGGCGAGAACGAAAAATGAAAGCAGCTTTTTGGAACAACAACAGCGTGCACAGCTATCTTGGAAGCAATTCAGCGAGGCTCACCACGACCAGGTAACTGCCGGCTGAAAATCGGCTTCGAAAAATGTTAGCACGATTCAACTGTTTACATTTCCTTCACATGGTTACCAATGCTGCGTTCCGATATTTACTGCCAACACTGAAATTCTATTGTAATGCGGCACACGGTGCTTGTTTTCGTGCTGGATTGCTTGCTGGATGAAAACACTGCGTTCTGATTGGTATATTTCCATCCATCTCCGGAAATGCACCAATCAGAAAGCAATATTTTTATCTAGCAAGCAATGGCCGCGTTCAGTAGAACAAAGTGATCAGAGAGCGCTTACTGATTATTGTCTGTGATTGGAGCATTTTTTTAGATTCTTCATAGACCCTGTAACGGCCGAACTCCGCGGTTCGGTCGCTGCTACGCGTTTCGCGCGGATAAGGCTCGTCGGAGTCCGGGTTCTGTGAGGAGGAAAGCAGCGAGACGTTCGTGAGTAATATAAGTACGTTAGCTTTATTCTATATTTAATTTGATACAAGAGTTCGGCCCCGAAGACGGTGTTGCGGGTTGCGTCTATAAGGCGCGTAGGTACGGTACGGTGCGGTGCGATGAGCGGTACAAGCGCTGGTATGAACGGATAGGCCGTGCGGAAGGCGGGGCCTATTACGCGACGCGTGTAGATCGGAACGACGGTAACGGCGCGGTGATCGGTCTCGCTTCGCGACGCTGGGCGTCTCGGACAATTATCGCCCAATACTCGCTTCGGATTTGCTCGCGTAAAAATGGTCGCCGGACCGGAGATTTCGATTCTCGGTCGAACGCACGCACGCGAGTCGCGGGAGACGCGAGATGATTTCGTCCGTCGGGGCCAAGGACTCTCGACAGAGAAGGCGTACGCACCTTCCCTTTTCCCTACGTTCGTGGAGGAAAGCGACCAAGTGCTGCGGACACTCAGCGGAGACGGCGAACACACCGTCCCGGGTTCCTGGTCGCTAGACGGATCGCCTGAAGGCTGAGTACGCTCAGCGGAGTTCGCCGACGGACGAACCCCTGACTCGAGGCGGCGGGTAAAGGCGAGATACTGTCGAGTACGCTCGACTGAGCACGCCTACACACGAGCCCAGGAAGACGGGAGACGGCCAAGTATCGAGAACGCTCGATCGAGACTGCGGACGCACAATCCCGTGTTCTTAGTCGCCGGTCGGGTAGTCGGAAAGCGGAAGGCAGAGCGAAACGGTCCGGATATTCTCTCTTTCGGCATGAAGCGTCTAGATCGAATCGGCGGTACGGATCGGTCTGGTGTCTAGGAGCTCGATCGCCGCCGTTTTATAGTTGTTCGCGCTACGATTGATACGGCGGCGATCGAGCGGCGCGCCTATCGGCGCGAGGCATGATGACGGCGCGTGATCGCGGCCGCGCGCGCTAGCAGCAGCGCGTGATCGCCGCGGCGCGCGATAGCGGCGGCTCGTGATAGCGGCGGCGCGATCGTCTTCGCTAATTTATGGTGGCGCAAAGCGCCGTTCTTCGGCCCGACAGGTGGTCGGTCGGGCCGGTAGTAACGAGGTGCATTTGCGCCTCGTTACAACCCAGAAGTATTTACCAATTAGGAGCGAGATTCAGTGGAAAATCTAGTAATGTTGTCCAACTGTTGAGTCTGCTGAATGCAGCCAATCAAATGTAAAAGCTCATTGAGCACTCAGTGAGCGGTTGTAGGGTGCGTTCCGAAATTTACTGTCAGTATTGAAAATACGTAATTTGTGTCACGTATATTATAGATTTTCAGTGCTGCCAGTGAATATCAGAACGCAGCCGTAGTACTGAATGCACCCATTGTATCCATAACAGGTATACGTACATTGCGTTCACATACGATCTTCGAGTAGGATCAGAACGTGAATAATTTCTCTCTTTAGTGAGCACGAATAGCAACTTTTGCATTTGCGACGATTAGCGATATTACAGATTTTATTACAGTTTATTACAGTTATACGTAAAACTCGCACGATAAACATGCACATATGAATAATTATGTGAATAAATCATTTGTGTCGCGGAAACCGGCACATAAGTTATCGCTACGATACCGATCTATAGTTATGTGTAAAATAAGGGAGCGTTTAAAGTTGGCACATATTGCAACATATAAAAGTGTAGATGGAAAATCAAAGAATAGTGCCAATTTGCAAAGCTGTGATTCCCATAATTCATTAACTCCAGAATGTAGTTCCTCTGAATTTCGTTTTGTTAACAGTGTTCCGCACTTTGCTGATGTAGAGTATACTTTTTGCAATGATTCCATGTCAAATGATAATTCTCATATAGTACATAACAGAAACATTATTAATGATGATTCTTCTTCATCGTCTTCAAATGCATCTGAATGTGGAACATTGTTTCATGACAATTTTGGCCAATCATCCTTTCGTGAACAGCTAGCTTCCTGTTTTGTTGACAACAATTTTACTCATGTTCAAGGTAATAGTGTATTATCTCTTCTTAGAACACACCCATGCTTCTCTAATTTGCCCAAAGACACTAGAACACTTCTTAATACACCACGCAATAGTATTGTTGTGTTAAACGTTGAGCCAGGAGAATACATTCACTTTGATTTTCAAATAGCTTTAATTGAATATCTTTCATATATGTCCATGGCAGCAATTCCTTCACATATTGAATTAGATATTCACACAGATGGGTGTACATTAGATAGAGCGGGTAGTGTTCATCTATGGCCTATTCAATGTAGAATAGCGAATGTACAACACGCCAAACCAATAATTGTTGGTATATACAAAGGTTCACAAAAGCCCCATAATCCGAATAGTTTCTTCGAAGCATTTATTACAGATATTCTAACAGTTGTGAACAATGGAGGCATACAGTTCAATGGCAGTAATATTCCAATACGACTTAGATGTTTTATAGCAGATGCACCAGCTCGAGCTTTTATTCTAAATCATCGTGGTCATCTTTCTAGTAAACCATGCTCAAAGTGCAAAGTTAGTGGAACAATAAGTGAAGGTCGCAATGTTTTTAAAGGAATAAATCATTCTGTAAGAAGAGATGAAGAATATGTTGCAGTTGTGGACGAAGATCATCATAAAGAAGGTACAAGTCCATTATCATTAATTTCTATAGGAATGGTTTCACAAGTTTCTTTCGAGTATATGCATTTAGTGTGCTTGGGCATCATGAAAAAATTATTATCTGCATGGGTTTCCGGACGATATTCACGTGCATCAAAACTTTCTGCAAATGCCATTAGTGTCATATGTGAAAGATTAGATAATCTCCAACAATATATTCCCTCTGACTTTGCAAGACGTCCCAGATCTCTCTAAATATATTTGAAATATAAAGCGACAGAGTTCAGGCAGATTGTGCTTTATACAGGTCCAGTTATTATTATGGTGTGTTAGGTACCCAGTTTTATAAGCATTTTTTGTTACTACAAGGTGCTATAAGGGTTCTCGTTTCAAATTCACCATCTAAACAACTTCTCAATTTTGCAGAACTTGCACTGCAAAAATTTGTTCTTCGTTCAAGTGATCTCTATGGTGATAATTTTCTTTCTTATAATGTGCACAGTCTTCTTCATATGACTAACGATGTCCGGCAGTTAGGAAGTTTAGATTCTTTTTCTGCTTTCCTATATGAAAGCAACATGTCCATTTTTAGGAAATACTGTAGAAAACCGGGTCAGCCACTTCAACAGTTCTTTAATAGGATGAAGGAAATAGAAATGCATGGCACAAAGTGCAATTAGGAAATAGATTCGTCAATTCGTGTATTTATGCCACTGAATAATGGTGCTACTTTTTCACAGTATTGTAAGATACAATTTAATCAGATACTTTTAACAGATTACAGATTACAGATGTACGTGATAGTTGCTGCATGTTGCATGATGGTTCTATATGCATTGTCTTCAGTATATTCGTACATGATTCTTCCTATTACTTGGAAGTAAAGAAATTTTTAAAAATAGACGACTTTTACGATATTGATATACCATCTTCATCTATTCAAGTGTTCAAATGTAGCAATTTATGCAGTGATTTTCTTTTAGTGAATGTTAACGAAGTAAAAGTTAAATGTTTCAGAATGCCTTTTTGGCACTGCTCTTTAACGGATGACACTGAAAGTGACGATTATGAGGAAACCCACAGAGAAACAGGCACATATATTGTTGCAACAATCATACATAGTGAAGTGATTTAGTGTTTTTCCTATTAGTTATCAGGAGTTTAATATTTACGCAGAGTGAACTGTTTACAGTGTTTCTGTTAATAATTTTCTTTTCAATGCACGTGAAAAAAATATTTTAGAATACATCGATGGCGATACTTTTCGACCAGTCTTAAAAAATGAATGTGGATTAGGCTTATAGGGGAAACCACAAAAAAAACGCGCCAAACTATGTACCGCAAGGTGGTGAGGAAACCATAGTCTTTGCAAAAAAAACTTCACCAAATGTTGAACGAATCTCATAAAAAAATCCGCGTTGAGTATAAAGAATTGGATAACGTAATCTTTATGATATCGCATCTGTACAACTTGGAGGAATTTTTTTAAATATTAACGACGTAGAGCTATTCTGTGCGACTTCCCATAAACTCACCAGTGAAATATGTAGTTACGGTAAGTGACTATAACTTAAGTACAAGGTTTCTTTAAAGTTTGAAAAAAAAATTTTTTCTTGTAAGTAAATATATATATATTTTTCTTTTATTGAAACATTTGCATCTTGCAATATTGAATATTTTTTCTATCGCATTTTAGTTATACCCAATGCCAAACAAAGCAATGGCTAGACGTATAGCTGCCTTATAATTATGCATCGACTTGCATCGAGCAAACGAGATAAATGATAATTTGTTACCTATGGGAAAGAAGCATTTGAAAATGAAGCCTAAAAACGGCGAAGTGCCTACTTTGCCGGACGAAAGGAGGGCGGATTTTTCGGACCTGGTATAACAGAAGACAATATTATTTTAAAAAGGTAGCTACTAATTTTTCTATTGAACAAATAAGAAGAAATCTGATATTCCCTCTTGTTATTGTGTTGTAAACGGTTCTTCAAAATATGTATTCTGTTTTTTTACAGATAGCTGGGGCATTGACGGATTGTAAGCCAATAGTCGGAGTGCCGTCTTATCTATATTAATAGGGAATTAAGTTCTTCTCTACCAGAGGAGTAAAATACACGCGGCAGATGTACTTATCCTTCTGAAGAATCGGCCGTTGGATTTGACATATTCACATTGGAAAGTAGCTTCTTTTATTTTGTATATCATTTAATGTGTATAACAATAAAGATTTTTATCAGAACAATTATTTAAAATTTAATTTCCATTTTATTGGCCCTCTAATTATATAACTTTAAAAGCGACAGAATCTTCTACATTTATGCCGCCAATCTGCTGGCACAGCATGTCGACAGGCTCTGTGCGTATTCTGCCGCCAGTCTGCTGGCACAGCATGTCGACAGGCTCTGTGCGTATTCTGCCGCCAGTCTGCTGGCACAGCATGTCGACAGGCTCTGCATTCTACCGCCAGTCTCCTGTCGGTCTATGCATACATTCTGCCGCTAATCTGCTGTCAGAATCTGCTGTGAGACTCTACGCGCACTTTGCCGCCAGTCTGTTGTCAGAATATGTTAAAACGGATTCTGCATGCAACCTGTTGCCTTTCTGTCACTAGACACTGCTAACAGGCTCTGCGCAAAATCTGTTTGCGCAGGTTTGACTTTCTGGAAGGTGCATTTTCGAAGATATTCGCGTTTTCAGCCTAAAACAGTTTAGACCTTTATGTGACCTTCAGAGGTCAAATTTGGCAGTGTTCAAGGTCATATCCGAACGTAAAATATTCCGTTCTTTTCATTTCTGGGGTCAAAAGTATGGGATCCCATTTAAAAAACTGATCTGACCTTGAAATGACCTTCAAAGTCATTGTCAAGGTCAAATCCAATTTCACTATCTGATAGCCAGGAAAAAATCATAAAACCTCATTAATTCGCATTTTTTGCAGGACTCATATTTTTCGAGTTATTGTGCTCTTCCGGGACTTTTATAACACCCTGTATGTATACTCACATGTGTATGCGTATTCATATACATGAACAGGGTGATTGATTTAAATATATATATATATTAGGTTGTTCGGAAAGTTCGTTTCAAATTTTGGAAATAAATTAAGAGCGCAATATTTTACACAAAGAGGAACTTTATTGAAGCAAATATGTATCGTTTTGTTCAACGACCTTGGCCCATCTTTCAGGAAGCTGCATGGTGCCTTTGCTCCAAAATAAAGGTTTCTTATTGGCGAAGAATTTATCAAGATGACTTTTGAGGACTTTCAAAGACTCGAATTTCTTGTCCCGAAGAAAATTTTTTAAAGAAAGAAATAGATAGTAGTCAGATGGGGCAAGGTCGGGAGAATATGGAGGATGAGGAAGAACATCCCATTCGAAGTCTAACAGCTTCCTACGGATAGACATTGCGACGTGAGGTCTGGCGTTATCATGATGGAAAACAATTCCACACCTGTTGGCCAATTCAGGGCGCTTCCGTGCGATGACAGTCTTCAGTTCGTCCAGTTGAAGGCTGTACTTCGCCGCGTTGATGGTTTCGTTTGGTTGAAGAAGCTCATAATATACCACGCCCTTAAAATCCCACCAGATACTCAGAAGAACCTTTTTCGCGTGAAGCCCTGGCTTGGCCACTGTTTGCGTAGACGCGTCGCTGGTTCCCCACGACCTCTTACGTTAACATAATTGTATAGGATCCAACTTTCATCGCCTGTTATGATCCTCTTCAAGAACGGTTCTTTTTGGTGCCGTTGAAGCAGCATATCGCAGACGTTCACACGTTCCAGCAACTGCCGTTCATTCATTTCGTGCGGCATCCACACATCCAGTCGACTTGAGAATCCTAGCTTCTTCAGATGGTCATGCACGGTGGAAACAGACTTGTGCAGAGTGTCGGCGAGTTCTCTAACTGTCACTCAAGGATTTTCGTGCACGAGATCCATAAGAAGCGTTTCATCAACCTCCTGAGGCCGGCCTGAGCGAGCTTGATCTTCCATGTTGAAATCGCCAGCTTCGAATCTTCGATACCATTTTCGAACTGTCTGGTGAGTGACGCAGGCATCTCCATATACTGAGAACATCTCATTCAGAGTCTGCGAAGCCGTGAAGCCACGTTTAAAGCAATATAGCATCACATGACGGAAATGGACTTTTTGGTTCTCCACTTTTCAAACTGATTTCTGACGAAATAGTTGTACTTAGGAAAATCTGCGAAGTTTCCTTAGCGGGCTCATAGATCCGGGAATGTTTGTTGACTAACATAAAATCGTTTAGAGCGCCCTCGTTCTTACTGATTACATAGAAATGTGGAGTGTGCGAAATTTGAAACGAACTTTCCGAACAACCTAATATATATATATATATATCCGTCAACTTTGAAGAAGTATAAAATGTGTTACAAAAGACAAAATGTTATTTAAAACTAGGAACACATCATACAAAAAATAAATAATAATAACCTCTTTGTAGGAAACATGACCAAGGTCAGGCATAGGTCAACAAAATTTCCTAAAGGAAACCTTATATTTCTCATAACTAAAATTTCGAGAATAAAATACCTTGAGATCTTTCCAAAGCACAAGCTGGATGCCTTTTTCTATTGACCAGGTCACAAGTTATGAAATTCTGGAAAATATATTATATATATATATATATTGTTACAATTTCTTAATTAACACCCTCAATAATGCGTAAATCCTCATATAATTCATGATATAAAGCACTTTTCTTGTCAATTAAGTCATACAATATCGTTAATTATAATGCTTTTACGCATATTACTAAACTCATATAGTTTATTATAGCTCTAGTTATATTCTATACTCTTATTCTTAATATTTGTGAGTAAAACGCATAATAAGAAGAAATTATATCAAAGGTAACGGCAACACGTCGAAACTTTAAAATTTTACACTCACCCGTATATACACAAAATGGCGGGACCAGCATGGCCATAAGCCTAAGCTGAAACGTCTAGGCAGTCTTGAGACGCGTGGCGCCGCCTTTGCACCGCGGTCGCTGAATGAACCCACTCGCGCTTTTCTGGTTCTTATCCAAACTTGTCCCCATGAAATAATATTAAAATTATTAATTCGGCTTAAAAATGCAAAAAGGTTACAATCACATAGCTAATATAGCACCCACAGACACTCTATCGCAATGACAGTATTATTTTAAGATGCTTTATACTGCAGCCTTTTTCTACCAGTCACTTATTCAGTCCAACACTAGATGTATTTATTATAAAACAACTTTTGCGCCAAAGTAACCGCTGATAAAGGAATTAAACGATTCCATAATACTTAGCTTAACAATTAGATGCAAAACCGCGCCGCAACAGGTTCTATACGTCTACCTCACTACATTGCTTTGTCCCCGTTTGTCGGTGCGATAAAGACGATGACGCATAACGCAGGAAACTTGGTGATAGTGCAAACGTATACGATTATTATTCAAAGCAACAAAAAAGGAAAACAACGACCACGGCATACCTACAGGACATTCATACGGATTAACGGATAACGGATAGACAACTAGAATTTGGGACAAAAGAGGGGAGCATTATTATTACTATAATACTATTAATTATTACTAATATACGTACATTTTAACAAAACTCATACACAATTATTATAAGATTGTTATAAATTACAATACACAATATAAGAAAATACGGCGCGTATCCCTTCAAGCCGTGACAGCTAAAATAAGCTAAAATACGCTGTTATAAATAATTTAACATTAAGATTCATGCATACGCATATGCGCATATAATAATATAACACACACGCTTGCGAATAACAATGCATGAAATGCTAGGAACCACACACTTAACCACACCGTTGTATACACACATTCAAGCCTACACCGCGGAACAAAGAACCGCGCAAAACGGAGACCGATAGGCACGGACCTACGCATAAGTACTAGAGGCACTACCCTACAAACTAAAATATCCCCATAAGGTGCGATCGAACACACATCCCTACATAAAACTAGGCCACACGAAATGGCGGAAGCCATTTGAACAAAACTGAATAAATACTATTAAATCATAGGAAATCACGGTTAAATTAATAATATATGCAATCCATTGCTAACAAACAAAATTGCATAAATAAATTATCAAAAAGATCCTAATTGCAAAACTGATTAAAATAGGGAAATAACTATTTTTCGACCTTTAAACTTTCGGGAATAACATTAACACAACCTCAAATGCACGAAAATTACAAAATTATACATAAACAAATTAATTTTACAAAATAATTTTGAATTTTCACTACCGCTAAAAATACACCGGACACTCTCAATATGGTACCTCCGAGCTTGAAAATCAGTCTGCTGCAATATTTTAATTTGTTTATTTAAATAATCAGACAAATAACAATCAACTCGCTGCGGACCTACATTACTATAAAGACATCAGATTATAGTCACAAAAAGAGGGAACTAATGTTTTAATTATTGTTCAAAATGTAAGGTCATTATTTATAACCATTACAATTAATAACAAATACTTGTTACAATAAGGCCAAAGCATTCCTTTAATATTATAGAAACCTTTTTTCAGAACACAAAATCTTCTTGCACTTCATCAACAGTTCGAAATTGCACATACACTAATTAACAAATAAATACCTGCTTAACCAATAGAGACCGAAAAATCGCGCTACCTACATAACATTCTGTGTCACTCAACGAGTTGATAACACGTAAAAGAAATTATTCGTCAACCAGTCATAATCAATAGCAAAATTATAATAAATTTATTACAAGACAGAAACACAATGTAATACATATCGCAATGTAATACATATCGCTGTATTCGCTGTATCGCTATATCGCTGTATTTGCTTTCAAAGCACTAACGCATTGAGATAATAATAACCCCTCCGGCAAACAAAAATCATCAAACATTTTTCGTCTCCCTAAAAATTGCATCACTAATCATGGATTATCTCGACGGCATGTAATGCGCAACGACGAAAAAGCTAAAGGCATAACATTTACTTTTCCGGAAAAACGAACAGAACACTGAGAAAAAGGGCAAAATGTACAAATTTGTTCAATAAGTTTCTAGAATATCGCTTATATCTATATATTACGAATCCTAAATCAATGAATTATAGTATTGATACCTAAAATAAGAACAGATAAGCAAGGAAAGCCTTAATAGCCAAATACTAGAAACAATTATAATCCATTAATAAAAACCGCAAGAGCACAACACCCAACACATTCAAT